CATATATATATATATATATATATATATATATATATATATATATATCTCTCTAATGAATGCTAATAGAAATAATAAGTAACTGCATTAATATTTCATGCAAGCAAATAAAAACTAGAACTACATTAGCACAAAGTGTAATTTGGTACTATATCAATATTTAGGAACTGCCATCAACCAAATTACACAATTTTACCATAACTAGAAGCAGCAAGCGTAACCAAAATTCAGGAATATATAACTAAAAGCAGTAAGTGTAAACCTCAATTCAAGGAGATCAACCGAGAGAATACCTAAGAGAAAAGTCCATATCAATATAACCTGAAATCAAGGGTAGTAGTACCTTGAATTTTTTACTTGTTGCAACTTCATATTGCACCATCCACCATTGTATTTATTCCAAAGGCCTGCATACACAAGTGTAATTCAAATTTTATTTCATGTAGAATGTAATACTGTTACTAATGGACAAACATGGAAATTAAGAAATATAATTGTGAGAATTGAAATTATTGTTAAAAGAGCAGAAGTTTCAATACTAATTGCATATGGATTATTCACAAAAGCTAACAAGATATCAATTATTGAAGCACCATGTTCAACACTGTATTTCAGAACTTTAAATTAAGTAACCACACATACCTAGACATACATAGGCTATCATTATAGTTTTTCATTTGCCTATCTACTCCTATTGAAGAAGAAAATATTTATTCCAACTACAAAATCATAATTCGTAAGAAAACACATATACTATAAATAAAAAAACATTGTGACTCACAAACAATCATAAAAATTGAACCTATTTATCCAACCCAATCACCGTAAAGTAAGTGATGTATAACAAATTTAAGTGGCACGAGGGAGTTAAAACTTTAAGTTCTTAAAACCAACTAACAGTAAGACATAACACATCAAATTGCACATTGTGAGTTTAAGATCAGCTATACGAATTAAATTATGCTCCACTAATCATAACACGTCTTCGAATACATAAAAACCACTGTAATTTGTAAAGTAATCATAAATAGATAGCACAAAGTGAAAAAAAAATCAACTACATCAAGCAAGATTAAAAAGTAAGATAAACAAACAGAGTACAAACACTTACTTCTTGAGGCATCGATATTCAAATTTAGCTTTGTCCAAGTTCAACCTGCTTCTAGTTATCTCCTTGCATTTCTCCAAATAACTTCTAAAGAGAAGGCCTGAAAATTGGTATGACAATCACCAAAATAATACTCTAAGTCTCTGCCCTACTCTGTACTTCTCTCACAATTCACACACCTTCTAATAACCAAAGTTCAAAGGGAAAATAATAGGCATCTAGATCGGAGTTTTTTCAAGGTAATATTTTTTTCATACATCACCTAGGAGAGTGGATTGAGAGGAAAAAAAACTAGCTATACCTTAAATATCCGATTTTGCCAATTGTTCTTGATGTTTGCCCAATCATCGATGCCCAAATTGCCGCTGCCAATTTGCTCTATAGTCGATGTCTCTACCGCTTCATCAAATTGTTGCTTTCCATTTGCCCAATTGTTGTTACCGCTGTTGCTTCGCCAAATTGTCTTTGCAACTATTACCGGTGGTCGACATGATGCTGCAAACCTTTTCGGTATGCGGAAATTGGAAAGGACGATGGTGTGTGAAAATTGAAAACCCTAATAGCCCTGTTCTTTTGTTCTCCTTTCCCAACTGAAATGCCCATGTTTTAAATCTTAAATTTGCGTAAATTAATGTAAAAACAAAAATAAAAAATCTTGTAACAAGTTTATATTTGTCACAAGAGTATATTCTTTTAGTGACAATATTATATTATTAGTAATGAATGTTTTTTTTTGTCACGAAAAAGAATTCTTTTGGTAACGATTATTCATTTTATGTAACTACGCTTGCTTCTTGTTACCGAAAACTGGACCTTTTGTAACGAAAATACTCTTTTTGTAACAAATATTTCGTTTCGTTACCAGAAATTGCGTTTTGCGTGACAATATCCGGCTTTTGTTACAAGAAATCATTTCTTGTGACAAATAATCCAATCGTTACCTTTTTTTTTGTTATTTAAAACATCTTTTTTTGTAGTGGGTGTTGTTGCGCATAAAAAATATCCACCGCCGTCGAGGAGTCTGGACATCAAAACATCTCCACATCCGTCGAGACACCACCGTCCAGACATTAAACACCTCCATTGTCGGAATTGGAAAAACTCTCATCTCGTATACCGGCAACTTCTTCCTCTACGATCCCGCCCAACGCATTGTGTATCGGAGCTTCTCCCGATACATTCCAGTTTTTCTGTTTTCGATTTTAGTTGACAGTTTACGTAATCGATCATAGATGATCAATAAATCAACTATATTTTTTTATATTCTATTTGATCAAGAACATTGTAGTTTAATGATTGCATTTAGTTGTCATGAAATCTTGTTTTAGCAGTCGAATCAATTTCTTCAAGTATACAAACATCAATGTTTGAATAATTCCTAATGGCCTCTAAAGAAAATAATAATAATTGCTAATGGGCTTTATGGTCCTCACAGTATTCACACATGGCTTTTGTAGATTATCCAATTCAACGATCCAAAATGCACTAATTGTACTTTTCTGAAAGTACAAATCTAATTCCAATTCAGTTCCTACGAATAGGGAATAGCAAATATTGCAATGAAAAACTTGTCCGAATTGAAATTGTTTAGATCATAGTTATAACTTATAGCAATTCGAAAATTTTATTTTTCATTCACCTCTAGTATGAAAATATATAATAATAATATTGATTTTATAAACATATATTTATTTGGAATAAAATTTGGAATCATTGATTTTTGGAAAAGAAAACCGAAGCTAAAATTGAAATTTCGTTTCAACGTTGCTCCAAAATAGTATTAACAATGTTAAAGTTAGATCGCCGTAAGTAATTGAGGTAGGATGAATTGGGAGAAGCAAAGTGGATTACTGGCTCACGAGCTAGATGGTCCTGAGATACATGCGATCAGAGAAAATTGATCCAGCGGAAACCTCTCCGACGCTTAAGTCAGACGTGCAGATAGTAGAGTTGTAGAGACAAACTCAGGGAGTTGTATAGTTCGAATATTGAACGTACCTTAACAAATGAATTGTCATCTTTATTTATACCGAGTTGGTTGAACTGAAATTACTTGATTGTAATTGTCGGTTCAAAACCTTATTTGAAGATGATTAGGCCTCGGTTATAGTGATCTTCAATATTAAATTTGTGGCTTAGATAAAGAAATTATAGGCTCATTAGGTTGGCTCGTTTAGGCATAACAAATATATATTGAAGTTTTTGATATTTGAAATAAAAGGTATCGTTCCAAAATCAATTTTTTTTGTTAATAATTGGTAGAAGTCAGAATTTATGTTTCATTTTTCACCCTAGATCAAATAGAAACCGGTAGAAATCGAAAATTCTGATTCATTATGGAAGGAAACCCTAAACCGAAAATCATAATAAGTGGTGTTTGCAAAAGTTTTTAGAAATAATTAGGTGTTATAAAATTAACTTATTTTGCATATCTTAAAATAAGCTCCTTTATGATGTAATTTTAAAAGTACCCATGAACTAACTTTTTCATAATCACTTGAAATCAAGTTAACTCAAAATCAATAACACTTCTGATTTTAAATAAGGTTTTGCAAACACAAAAACAATTTAATTAATTGCGATTTAATTGAGTTATAATTTTTTTTTTCTTTTTTCTTTTTCGAACAGGGAAAATTGATAATTCGACGAATGCGATTTTAACCTGTGATTTGGTGGGTTCAGTATAAAGAGCCGCATAATTCCGTCCCCCTCTTCCCACTCAAATCGGAAAATGGCGAGAAACAAATACCCGGAAGACGATACCCGACCCGACCCAACCAAAGACACCACCCACCGTAAATCTAAACATTCCGATTCGGAACCCGACCCGGATTCCGACTCCGACTCCGATGTAGAAACCAGAAAATCCCACGGCAGCAGAAAGCGAACCAAGGACAAGAAGAGTAAATCCCGAACCTCCAATTCCAAGAGAAGACGCTCTAGAGAAAGCGACTCCAATTCATCGTCGTCTGAGCACCACGACGGAGAATCCGAATCCTCGGATTCGGATTCGGATTCTAGAAATTCGGAGTGCTCAGATTCGGAGGAGGAGAGGAGGCGGCGGAGGAAAGAGAGGAAGAGGAGGGAGGAGAAGAAGGAAAAGCGGAGGAGAGAGAAACATAGAAAGAGGAAAAGGAAAGAAGAAGAAGAGAAGAAAAGGAGAAAGAAGAAGAAGGAGAAAGAGAAAGGGAAGAAAGGCGCCGTCACTGGTTCATGGGGGAAGTATGGTATTATCAGAGACACTGATTTGTGGTATGTTTTGCTTCTGCGTTCATCCATTTACTCAATTCAATTGAAGTTAATCAGATTCTTACTGCTTTACAATTGAATTTAAGCTTGTCTATTGATATTAGGTTATTTGATTTGAGTTTTTACATGTGTGGATTATGATGTATTATCTGATTTCGAATTATTTGATTTCAATTCGATACGCGTAAGTGTCAAATTCTAATAAGGGGTATGATTCTTCACTAATTTTGTAGGATTGATGTTTTAATGAATCTATAGAGTCCGCTTTCCGGAGAGTGTAGAGTTTGGAGATGGAGATGTAGTTCTCGAGATTTTGTTTGCATTGGCTTATAGTAGTTGTCACTTGCTATATTATTCGTAAAATAACTTACGAGTTTAAACTTATACGTCGAAGGTCATCTCTTGCTTATACTATATATCTTAACTGCTATTTCTTTCGGGTTTATCATAGTGTTCTTCACTGTCGTCTGAGCATATTTCTTTATCGTATCACCCTGCGGTTTGATGTTGACAGTCCAATTTATTCGTATATATGCTATGAGGATTTCTGTATTGTGATCGATGAAAGGTTAGGTTTTGATAAATGTTTAGGTAAAGAAAAACCTTTACTGCAAACCCAAATCTACTTTAGGTGTTCCGGCACGCGCACACACACACAAACATTTATATGTATATATGCACGTAAGAAACTTTATATCTCCAATATGCCAAGATACCGCACTAATCGTATTTGTGTACTTATTGAAACAAGTTGACCCCATGCTTTTGTTTATGTAATAATATGTGCGATGGGCCCAATGCCTTTGTTTGATTACTTCGGTTTTTTTGCAGGAATAAACGTCCTGAGTTTACTGCATGGTTAGGAGAAGTGAAAAAGGTATTACATTTAGATGAATCTAATGATCTTATTAATCTTTCTCTTTATAATATTTATTTATGATGACGTTGATTTTTCCTCCGACTGAACAATTTGCATTTTTCATTTGAGCAGGTGAACCTGGAAAGTCTGCCCAATTGGGAAGAGAAGCAGCTTTTCAAAGAGTAATTAGTTTTATGATAATTCTATTTAAGTTTTATGCAGAAACTCGGATGTGATTTATATTAACTTTCCCTAATGCTCATATAATGCAGCTTCATGGAAGATCATAACACGGCTACCTTCCCATCGAAAAAGTTAGTCCTCTTTCGTCTTATTTATACTAGCTCATTTTTCAGTTAATAAGTTCGATCTCTGGTTTTCTCGTCATTCTTTCTTTCTATTTACTTTAAGATGAAAGATGACTTTTAGTATGAATTGTTCTTGAAAAAAAATCGAATCTTGTAATCCCTTTAAACTATTAGTAACTTCCAGATATCCAAAGATTCATTATTTTTAGCCAATAATAATTTGACGACAACTCAACCGAACAAGTAGTTAAATCACTCTAATAATCTTCTAGAGCTAATTATTTTTTAATATATTATTGATCAGACTATTAGTTCATTCTATGTAAACTATTAGTTCATTGTATGTACATTTGAGCGATTTTTTAGTTTATGAAGAAATATTTGGTTATTTTTATTTAAGTTGCATTAGTTGGAATCGTTAGACGATAACACTTTGGAATGCATAACTCTTTATCTTTTTTATGGTTGCAGATATTATAACCTTGATGCTTATCACCAAAATAAACTGGAAAAGGAAATGAAAAAGGGATATGCTAAAATAGTGGAGTCGGAACGTACCGTTTTTAACGATGAAGAAATCCGAAGGTGAGTTATTCAGTTCCTTTTGAGTTCCATATCTTTTTTTTTCAGTCATTATTTATTGGTTGATGCATTGAGAAACTATCATGATTTCTTTTAGTGGTGCAAGAAGTTTCAAAAAACTTAGGCCTCGTTTGGTTGGGGAGATTAGCCATGATTAACTAAATAATGGGACTTTGTTTGATGTTTGGTATCCCCAACAACTTGCCGGGTCGACCCGCAAATATTATGTTATCATGGTTTTTCTTGTCTTATCTTGCTTTCGAGGGAGCTTTTTTGTTGGATGTCACGGGGTCCGATAAAATAATTGGGTTTTCATTAGATTATTTAATTTTATCTTGGCTAATCTTATCTTGACAACCAAACGAGGCCTTAGGCCCCGTTTGGTTGCCAAGATAAGCCATGATTAACTAAATAGTTGGACTTAATTTAATGTTTGGTATCCTCAATAACTTGCCGGGTCGACCCGCCAAAATTAAATAATCATGGCTTATCTTGCCTTATCTTGGCTTATCTTGCCTCTTAATGAGTTTTTTTTGTTGGACCTTTGAAGCTCCAATAAAATAATTGGGTCTCATTAGATTATTTAATCTTATCTTGGTTAATCTTATCTTGCCAACCAAACGGGGCCTTAGTGTATTATTCATTATATCATTAAATCTATGAGAAACTCTCGAATGTGGCCTTATATAGGCCAAGTTGTATTTTTTTCATTAAATTATCTGCATTTTTTGCTGCCAAATTTGCATCATTCCTAACTTTTGTTAAAGATAGTGAGTCGTCAATATCACTCCTCTCTTTTCTCTGTTTTTTTTACAGGCAAGAATTGCAGAGAGAGCGTGAAAGACAAAAGGAACAAGAGGTGGAAGCATTGAAGCGTTCGATGCAGAGTGGAATGGTATACTCTTTTGATGCACATTAAATCTTGTTTTTTCAAGGGTTTATTGGTAATATACATCACCTCATATGTTATCTTGGCCGTTGGTTTTTATAGGCTCAAGCGATGAAAGAGCAAGCTCAACTCCGAGAAGAGATGGCTTATCAATACAAGCTCGGTAACTTTGAGGTGAGGATTTTCTTGTAATTTTCGACCGTGAAGTTCTTTATATATATACCATGTTCGCTAAAAGGCTGGTTTTATTGTAAATTGATAGGCTGCGGCTGCTATTCAGAGAAGGCTGGAACCAGATGTTGTTTAGATCGAGAATGTTCGCTTATACTTTTCTTTATGTATTTGTATCTTTTACTGTCTGAAAGATGTCTCCTGACATGTGCTCCGATTTTGGAGCCGTAGTTTATGTTTCGATTATTACGTAGAAATTCAACCTTAAACACTAACGGTAACGGTGTGTTATGTGCAAGCTTTAAGGTCTTTGTCTATGTGTTTGTTGCGATTAGGGGTGGATTCGGTACGGTTGTCAAACATTTGGCTCAATACTGTGTACTTACCGTACATTGTGGTATTGAAATATTTCATACCCTTACCGTACTAAAAAGTTCGGTATACCAATGTTTGGTATACCGTTATTTTCGGTACGGTACGTGGTACTCTACCGTACTTGGTGATGTGTCAAAGATTAAAGAATAAATGAGTTAACAAGTATGTAAATCTCAATTGGAAATAGTTCTAGTTACTCTTGTATCTAATTTTCTAAGAAAGCTGAGTGTATAATCATGAATAATTAACATGACTTGCCTCAATGAAACAAGAATATAAACCCAAATAAATGTGTTTTAATGGAACAACTAGGTATATCTTAGGTATTTGATTGTACTTAACAATTAGTACATACAATAAATACTTTACTAATACTATACATACATGTATATGTATGTAAAGAAAAACGATATTCATACATCAAATATAATAAAATTAGTTGACAATAGGGAACATAAAAGACAATTTAACATAATATATATGTCCAATTATAAAATTCAATTTGGTCCGAAAAAAACAGATACACTACCATTAACTTAAGCTAAAAATAATTGTTGCAATTCATAAGCTTCCAAGTAAAAAATATAATTACAAAAAATAATATCGAAATAAATATTTTCATCGAATTATAAAATATAAATTGCGGTACGGTACGGTATTACCGTGGTATTAGAAATACAATACCACTACCGTACCATATTATAATGGTAAACAATGGTAACCGTTCTTTCGGTATTTCTTGGTAGGTATACCATGGTATATGGTAATTGACATTTTTCTCCAGCCCTAGTTGCGATTGGTTTTGACCTTTCATCTATTCCTTTGGTTACAAAGGCAATCACATAACAGCAAAAAAAACTAAAAAGCAACAGAATAACGAAGAGACTTTTGCCAGCGAAAAAACTGGAAGTAATAACACATATTAGTGAAATAGTAATGAAGACAGAAAGTAAAGATGAATTTTGTAGGTCACAACAGAAGATACTTGTCGAAAAGTTTACAAGGCCCGAGTGAATAAAGCAATTCTGGAGCAATTAATTTACGTAGACCCCCCTACCGATCCAGAAGAAATTCAACTTGACATGCTGTGGATCCTCGTTCAAAAGTTGAGATCTTCTTTAGCATATTAATCTCTTTATTCGAACTAAAGAGTCGGCGGGAATATGATATTTTCATCCGCTCCAAGACTTTAGAATTCCTCAAAAAATATCTTATAGCTTCGAACTCGTGCTTTTGACCTTGAATATTTTCAATATTTATAATTCTAAGATTCGATAATAGGCACGTTGGCACTTGTTGCCGTGGTTCCATCCAGCCTTCTATTTCTTCCCAATGCTGATTTTAATAACAAAACAAAAATGGAAAAGGAAAAGTTCTCACTTGTGTAAGAAGACAATAAGGAAAGCTAAAAACTTGTATATTTACGTCAACAAACCTCAGTGAAAATAAGGGTTTCAAGATTATCAGCATTTTCGAGGAACTTTGGGAGAAAGCGACAATCGGCATGCAATTCGAGTTTCCTTAGGTTACGAAAATTTGTAGTCCAAGCAGAGAGTACTGAATCCATAATCTGCAAAAAGAAAAAAAAAAGAAGGCACATAAAATATAAGATTTGCCATTACAAAAGAAATGGATAATACGCGATGAAAGATCAAAAGCGCATACATCTGGACCATATGATAAATCCAACTTTAGGCACTCGACGTTGCAAAGCCTATCGAAAAATTCCAGCACGGTTCGAGAATAAAGATAATAGTCTTGTTTCTTCTCGTCCTTATAGAAACCGATTTCTGCTTTAATTAAGGAGTTCAGCACCCCACATTTTATATGCTCCGAGGAACAATTATTTATCTCGAGATATTCGAGTGCAGGGGTGTTATCGATCTCCAGCCTGTCAGATCTACCATAACTACAGCAGCCCTCGTATAAAAAATCGAGCACAAGCCTTTTCACAGTAGGCGAAGATACATTACAGGTAACCATATCTGATTCTAATCTGATTTCCAAATCCTCAAGCACTGGACAGCCGGAAAGCAGGTGTGGGAGGGACTCATCGGCTTCGTATTGAACAGAGATAAGACGAAGAATCTTGAGGCGAGGCAAACACACAGCGCCACTTGCGGGTATCCCACCACAATAATAGAGACTCAAATCAACTAGGGTTTCGCAGGTGAAGATGCATCCAGGTAAACCAGATACAGTATCTTCTTCGTATGCAAGAGAAAGATCGAGTTTTTGTACACCTCGCATAATGGCAAAGGTGAACCATGTCTCCAGTTGATAGGCGCTACAGTCGAGATAGAAATGGAGGCGGAAAGTATTAATTGTTTGCACTCTGCGTAGCAACATCACCCTGTTGATGATTTCTTGATTCTCGTCGTGGAAATCTAAAGTGGGGACGTAAGCCCAGAGAAACCGCCATCTTTGACCTAGAATGCTCGTTCTCACGGACAAATTGGTCGGGAGAAAAGAGAGGATGTGAGTCAGGACTGAGTCCGGCAAATCGCTGAGTCTATCAATCGAACTCGGATTTGTCTCCCCTTGCGGATGCTTCCCGCGCCGCCTTCTGCTGTGTTGTTCCGTTATCGCCATAAATTAGGTCTGAAACTCAACTGGAACCAATGCGTAACGGCGGAAGAAGTGCGACAGAGACTAAAGAGTATATTTTTATGGGTAAATTACAACCACCCTGCAATATGGTTAAATTACGAAAATCCCCCTCATGTTTGGGTAATTATAACCACCCATCAACTATAAATTTTCTTACGCGTCCACCTTTGCGGTTTCAAATTTAGTGGAATCTTTTAGATCACATGGAATATTCTCAATTTTGGACCTGTTTATTCCCATCCGAGCTTCAAATTTTGAAGCTAGATAATCATAAGATGCGGTTTTTGGCTTGTATATATCAGATTGTGGTGCATCAAAAGTTGTATTTTTGCACAAAATGAGTACAAACTAGAGAACATTCCACAAAATTTAGATAATTATGTTGAATTTGACATCATAAAGGTGGAGATGTAAGAAGATTCATAGTTGAGGGTGGATGTAATTATCCAAACATGAGCGATTTTTTTCGTAATTTGACCATACCTCAGGAGCGGTTGTAATTTACCGATTTTTTATTGATAAAAAATAAAAACAAATAACACGGTATTTTAATTAAATATTTAATGTAGTTTATTATTGGAATTTAACTTTGTGTATGAATGTAAAAGGATTAGACAAATTGCACATATCGATTTTTGTTTTTTTTTTTATTTAATTTCTTTTGAATTTGATATGATTTAGCAAGATTATATTCAACACACTTCAATTCATATTTATACACTTAGATATAATTACTAAATATTTTGACCTCATCTTGGCCACACACGACCGATTAAATCGACCTGAAATTTGCGACTTGCTTCTGCCGATCGTATTTTTTTGAAACAAGTCAACCACTGAAAGAATAGTTAATCGTTATCTTATAAGCTCTTATATAATTCATTCTCTTTTAGCAAACTTAAAGTATCTAGAGTTTTTTTTTTTTTTTTTACTTTTTAATATAATCAACATGGGAATTTTTAAAATTTTGATATAAGTTTATAACACATGGGTACTGAATGCAATAATTAAAGTGATCTTTTTTATCATCTGATAGATGTTTATCGTCTTTTAGAAGAAAAAAACCGAGGATAAGGAACTAGATCGAGCACATTGGATACTATAAGGCGGTCGTCATTCGAGAAAAAAGAAGATTCCACAATCTAAAACCTTCTCACCTTTCTTGAAGAAAACAATTCTTTATCACATAATATAGTAACCCAAAACGAAAGGAGAGATGACAAATGGATTGGATGTGTTTCAGCTGGATTTTTTATTGTCACTTGGATGTCTTGCACATGACATTTCCGTCCAAGTTACTGAAAAAGTTAACGGCCAAACTGAAAGTGTCAAAATGTGGTAAAATTGAGGACTAATTTTGTGAAATTAAAGTTTGAGGACTAAAATCATTTTAGGTGATAAGTACAGGGATTAAAACTGAAATAATTCCGAATTGACAAATTTTGTAGAGTCGAAATAGCAAGCCCAAAAAACATTATTTGACATTTTGGACCCTTCAAAAACCCCTTAGAAAGACAACACCAAACAGTAATGCAGTAGAATACCAAATAGGGAATGACTATAATAAATCCTAAATTTTTCTCACTTCAATACCAAAAAAATAAAAATTGAATAATAAATAAGTATTGACATAAATACCCTTAATGAAAATAAATATCATACAAATATTAGAAATCTCATTTTTCTTTCTTCAATACAAATACACAAAATCCCTCAAACCCATCTTCTTCTTCACAAATCTCTCAACCTCTTCCTTCTTCCTCACAACAAACCCTTCTAAAAAATCTCAAAACTAAAGAAATTAAAACCTCACAAAACTTATAAAATGGAGTTATAAGACAATAATATGGTAGTATATATGGAAGGAGAGCACATTAAGGTAAGTATCGATGTCTTTTTTGAGCTTCGAAGTCGATTTTGAAGTTTTTTTTTTTGAAACCCGCCGGCAATTTTCGACACATACATGTCGATTTTTTGGTCAATTTTCGACACCAACGTGTCGAAAAATATATTTAGAAAAAAAAAAAAAAAAAAAAACAAATTTCGACACATGTCGAA